TCCCTGCCAGAACCCCCCCACCACACCCCCACAGAGTCAGTCGGGGGGCTTGGGAGCACGTGACTTCCCTCTCTAAATAGGGATCATGGATCCTACTGCCCCTGCCCCACCTAGTTCACAAACCTCGGTGTGGGCTTTGTTTTATACAGATTGTGAGCTCCTCCACACCCAGCCCCAGGGGGCCCTGAGCTCAGTCAGCTCTGTGGGGCATCGGCCCGATGGGGGCCCTGAGCGCTTAGGAATGGCCAGACTGGGTCAGACGGAGGGTTCATCTAGCCAGTGTCCGGTCCGCCGACCGCAGCCAGTGTCTGGTGCCCCAGAGGGAGAGAACAGAACAGGGAATCGCCCAGTGATCCATCCCCTGTCGCCCATTCCCGGCTCCTGGCAAACAGAGACTAGGGACACCCTCCCTGCCCAGCCTGGCTGAGAGCCATTGATGGACCGATCCTCCATGAGCTTATCTAGTTCTTCTGTCTCCCTTGGGCTCTGTGCAGCCCCTGGCACGATGGGGCCCTGATCTCAGCTGGGATCTCCAGGGGCCACCATAAAACAAATAACCCTACTCTCTAAGGTTTACAAAACAACCAAGGGTAATTTCAGGCCAGCAGGATGAGGTGTTCCTAGCAGCAGCAGCTAATCACCCCCTGTGAGCTTGGAGCCACCCCAGCCCTGGGTCCACTGCAATCCCCGATTCTCCACTGATTCCACGGCTGCGGACTCCAGGGAGGCCTAATGAGACCGTAAGCTCCTTGCAAACCCCCACTGTGCTTGGCAGCCCCGTGACAGGAGCCCCTGGCCAGCTCGGCAGAGCTAACGAGCTGGATTTCGCAGCACGCCGAGGTGCTCTAAGGGGAGGAAATGAATTCATCCACTGGAATAGGCCCTTGTGAGGGACGGACCCCCTGCGGGACATGAGGGGCTCCCTACAGAGCAAACGAGGAGGCCCCAAATTGCAGGCAGGAAAGGTCCCTGACCCTGTGTGTGCAAGGCCCCGGGCAGACAGACGTTCCCATTTGATAGCAGGTGGATAACCCGAATCCAGGCACCCGCAGGTGGCAGCTAGGAAAAGAAAATAAAGCAAGCAGCATGCAGGCTCCAGCTTAGAGAATGCAGGGGTGGGCCCCAGGGACAGCACTGCTGCGGGACGCTCGACACCGGCGCAGGGCATCGGGACAAGAATGGGATGGGGAACAGCTCAGTGAGGGTCCGGGAAGGCTGCGTTCACGTGCGTGTGCCCATGTGTATGTGTGTATATATATCCCCGTCCCAGGCTCGCCCTGCTCGCCACGGCTGCCCCCACAGCAGGAAACATTAGGAAACACTCCAGCGGAGGCAGGGCCCCGCAGCTCCCTCCTGGGCTCCCGCCGGCTGCACCAAGGACCACGCAGAATTCCTGCAAGCCAAGCCAGGGCTGAAGTCACTCCAGTCGCTCCCACATCAGCCAGCAGGGTCCGTGATACGGTGCAGACAGCGCCTGTCCCTGCAGAATTAGCTCAACCTGCCCTGGACCAGCGAATGCTTTCGCGGGGGCCAGGCGTACTCTGACCGTGGCAAAGCATCGCTCAGCACCGGGTACTGCAGGAGGGAGGCTGGGGTGTGCGCTGCCGAGGCCTGCTGCCCCTAACGCAGCCCAGGGGGTGTTGCAGAAGGTGGATTTGAACAGCGCCTGCAGGAGGGAACAGGCCCGTTAACTCACTGGCTGATGGCTGGGGTTGGACATGCTACAGCTGCCCCCCCCCCCCCCAGCTTGTTCTCTGTGCACAGCAGGCCCTGACAGGGTGCTGTGACGAGCCTTCCTCCAGCTGCCCCCCAGAATCCAGCCAGGGGGCTTTCACCAGGCGCCTTGCAGAGGAGATGCTGGCGCGAGGCCAGGCATGCCAGCTCCGAGCAGAGCTCCAGGCCCTCCCCTCTCCCTGCCCCAGCCCCCAAAGGACATTTTTTCTCCACTTGCAACCAGAATTTTGCTCCCGCAGCATGGACAGGGCAGGGGGGAAAGGCTGGACAAGGCCTTTTGCCAGCGTATTATCTATGGCTGATGAGCAATTTCAGTAGCAAGCTGGGGGCTGCTTTTTGCATCTTCCTAAGGCAAGACCTCCTGCCAGGGGCTCGGCTTGCCCCTACCCCAGGCCCAGCTGTCCGCCCAGCAGGCTTCCTGTGCATCACAGCCCAGTTGACCTCCAAATAACACTGTCACTAGCTGCTGGGAAGAGCCAGCTCCTGTGCCTGGATCTCCCAGGCAGCCGGACGGTCCCAGGGCCCCCGCAACAGATGCCGAATTGGTGAAATATTCACGGGGTGGGCTGCTTCCATAACGAACACAAGGCAAACCTCCCACCATGGGGAGCTCTTTAATCAAGCCAAGAGTCAGCCTTGAAATCTCTTCATGGGGATTAAAGCCCCAATCACGGTGCAAGGCCCGGGGGTTATGTTCAGAGATAATCCATCTTTATTTTGCTTTTTGAAACATTAAAAGCAACCCCCCCCCCCACCCCCGCTCATTGTTTCATAAACCGGAGGGCACGTGCCGCAGTGCAGCTTATGGGCTGCCAGCGATCTCGGCCTCCCGAGCTCCTGCCTCGCAGGACCGCACGAGCGAAGGACTTGCTTTTTGCGAGCAGATCTGGAGCTCCGTGAGCCAGGCCGCTGGCACCACGTAGGACACCACAGCTGGGAGCTTCGAGCCACACCAGGCACGACATCCATACCTGCCCTGCAGGCCCGGCTCAGCTCCACAGAGCAGTGTGATTTGGTTCCCAGGCCTGCAAACCAAGGGCCTCTCGGTGCTTTGTGGGCCCTAGGATCCATGGATAGTTCCCCCAAGACGATCAGAGATTGCCCCACGTCTTTGCCCTCCCTTCTGCAGCCACCACCTTCCACCCCAGAGGTGGCTGCATTTCAGGGGTGCTACAGAGGCAGAGCCTGGGGCAAAAGGCACAAGCAGAACGCCTGGTGATAAATTTGTCAGGAACAATCACAGTAACGAAGCCAAGGGAGAGGAGAGATTCCAGCCGAGGGGGCAGCTCCCTCTGCAGCCAGCCCTCGCCCTCCCGCTGCCAAGGAGGAGGTGACAGGCGCAAGCTCCGTGGCCAGAGGAAGTAGGGTGCAATGGTCGGAGCACGAGCCAGGGTTCGATTCCTGGCTCTCCCCCAGACGCCCCGGGCTTCTCTGAGCCGCGGTCCCCAAGCTCTGCTGTAGGGAGACCAGCCCAGCCCTGCCTCGCTGCCAGGGGCGCAGACTGCGGGGATGGGGCAGGTGCTGCCCTTTAGCCATCAACCCTCATCTCACCAGCCGCCTCCTCCTCTTCAAACCCCCGCCCCGGACAACCCCCCTTCCCTGCCTGGGGGCACGGGGCCGCCAGCCCTGGGTCTCCCCTTCCCTGCCCGTCTCCAAGCAGCCAGCACCTGCCCCGAGCTCCCGACCTGGGAGGCGAACGTGACGCTGGCGCCATCTGGTGGGTAAACCGCTCCCTGGCAGGGCCACACCTGGAGCATCGCCAGCAGGTCAGGCCCCGAACCCGCAGGGAGCTGGCAGGCCTCGCAGGGGGGCAGGGGCAGGCAACTTCTCCACTCTGCCCCGCTGCTCCCCTCAGCATGCTCCGTGATGGGGAGGCCACGTAGGGTGCAGCGCCCCAACCGGGCACCCCTTCCTGCGGTAGCACCGTGAAAGGCTGTGGGGCAGAGGTCATGGCCCCCCACCCTGCCCCACCCATCCCTCCCAGGCGAGCTCTGCGGGCAGCCTCTGCCAGGCCCGGAGCCGCCCCCACCCTGGCCACGGGACCTCCCCAGCCTCCTGCCCCACAGCCCCGGTTCCCTACACCAGGGACCCTTCCTGCCCCCTGCAAGCAGCAGCAGACGCAGAGCCTGAGCGAGGCCAAGCTGGGCCCGTGGCACCGCAGGGCTGGCCGGCCTCACGAGACAACTCTGCTCTGGATGAAGTGCAGCGGGCGCCTCTCCCTCAGGACCCTGGCCATGGGGCCCGGGGGGCCCGCAGCATCCCGCAGCTCCCTGAAGGCCCCGGCCGCCACCAGGTGCAGCCGCACTGGCCCAATGCTGCCCTTGAGGCGGAAGGTTTTGTAGACAGGAAAATCCTCCTGGAGACACTGATCCAGCTGCAGGGAGAGGGAGAGGGGTGGGGGCTCGCCCTGGGCAACAAGCAGGCTGGTTCCGGCTCCGGGAGCCAAGGGTCGCATCAGACCCTCTACCTCACCCGTGCACCAAAGCTCCTTCTACCCCAAAGGTCGCCAGCCTGGACCAGCTGGGCCCGGCAAGCCTCTGCCCACAGTGGCCGGTCCCAGCTGCAGCAGGGGAAGGTGCCAGGTGCCCTACAGTGCCGGGACAACCGGCCCCGAGCGCTGTCAGCAGCAGGGGCTGTCCCCCATCCCTGTTTGCATCTGGAAGGTCTCGTTACCCCTGGCAACATCCAGGCCCCTTTGGAATCCTGCTCTGCTCCCAGCCTTAGTCAGACCTTGTGGCGAGGAGTTCCACTGGTAGAGCATCTGGCTCTTCTGCTGCACCAAGTGCCCCCCTGTGCCGTGAGGGTGACGGGGCCCCTCTCGGCCCCAGACATTGCTGTGTGCTTCTCTTCACCTGTGCAATCCCACCCCCACCCCCCCGGGGAGCGCACAAGGGGCCGAGGCCCTGTCCTTGGGCTCAGCAGCGCAGCTGGGGCGGCTCCCGCAGGCCAGGGCTGAGCCGCACCAGAGAGTGCTGCCACCTAGTGGCCAAATCCAGCCACAGACGCACAGACCTCCCCAGGGGAAAACCCCAGGCTAGGCCGGGGCACCCCTGCGGCTCTGGTGGGGCCAGAGCCCCATGCTGGGAGCAGCCCCAAGCAGGCAGGATCGTTCCCTCCTGCAGGCTGGAGAGGGAAGGTCCATCCCCACCAAAGCCTCCTTCCAGCTCCAGGCCCCTGGATTTGGGCAAGCAGGAGCAGGAAGACCCCCACCTGCCCATGGCACCAGCTGCCTCTACCCCATGCTGCCATTTTCCCAAGGCACTCACCTTATAGCGCTGTGCTTCCGACAGATCACGCACGCCCCGCAGCTCCACGAACACCTGGTAATGGGGGGCACAGGCCCCGGAGGAGGCACCTGGGGGGCAGCATGGACCCACGTTAACCCACCCAGTTGGAAGAGCAGGAGAGACATCCCATGCCGGGAGCTGAGGGACAGGGGTGGAAAACCCCCATGGGGGGGCAAGGACCCAGGCCACGCCAGGCTAGCTGGCCGGCTCTCGGCAGCAGTACCTCGCTGCAGATGGGCGCAGAGCCGCTCCCAGGAGGTGCCATCCTGTCGTCAAGCTGCTCAGGGGCTGCCCTGGCACAGCTGCCCCCCCATCTCAGTGCTGGGATCTGGATCACCTGGCCACTCCATGACACCAAGGCTAGTGCCAGCCACAGCCCTGGGTGGCTTGGCCCCTTCCTGTCCAGCCGTCTCACCAACCCCTGGAACCAGGCCCAGCACCAGGACACAGCTGGGCCCGGGACCCAGGCTGACCAGGCTGGGGGCACGATGTGACGAAGTGGGCCTGTTCTTAATGTTTCCTCTGAATACTGTGGGGATGCCTCCGTTTCCCCTATGCAGTTCTTAAGTCTCTAGGTGGTGGCATAAGGGGGTGTAATTGTTGGAGAGCAAAGGGCCAGGGTACATAAATGGCTGACACTCTGTCTCCTGGCAACTGATGGCCTGGGCCCTTCCCCCTGCAAGGTGAGAGCTGAAGGGTTGGAGAACAAAGGAACCAGGTGACCTCCTGGCCCGGAAAAGTGACAAAGCCCAGAGGAGGGGGGGCTGGAGAGAGTTTCAGTTTGGGGCTGGCTGGAGTCATGGAGTGAAGGGCAGACATGGTTGTCTGGCTCAATGCCCCCCAAAATGGACCCGGCTGAGGGGTCCTGTTCTCTGTACCTACAAGCTCTGAGTTAGACCATGTTCCTGTCGTCTAATAAACCTCTGTTTTACTGGCTGGCTGAGAGTCCCGTCTGACTGCGGAGTTGGGGTGCAGGACCCTCTGGCTTCCCCAGGAGCCCCGCCTGGGCGGACTGGCTGTGGGAAGCGCACGGAGGGGCAGAGGATGCTGAATGCTCCGAGGTCAGACCCAGGAAGGTGGAAGCCGGGTGAGTTTTGTGTCCTGCAGACAGGCTGCTCCCAGAGAGGAGACTGCCCCAGAGTCCTGCCTGGCGTCGTAGGGAGCAGTTCCAGAGCATCGCCCGGGGACTCCGTGACACACGGCCAGCCAGGCCTGAGCACAGACAGGGTCAGGCAAACCCAGGGGTGCTGAAAGGGGCAGCAGCGCAGAGCATAGCCAGTGGGGCAGAGAGGGGCCAGGCTGTCTCAAGCCAGGAGCCCTAGGACACGTACAGGCCCGGCCTTGCCAGCACGGGGCTGGGTACCGGGAGCGGCACTTACCCAGAAGGCTGCTCTCTGCACAGACGTAATCGACCAGCCGGGCTCCCGGCCACATGGCCACGGCACGGCACAGGCTCCGGTAGAAGCGCTCCTCGGGGACACCTTCCCCACGCACGCTCAGGGTCTGGCTCAGCCTGGGGAGCCAAGAGCAGGGGTGAGCGTGGGAATCGGGTGACTGCACCTCTGCCAGCAGGGGGCAGTGCCATGGCCTCAAACTCTCCAGCCAGAACGGCCCCACCCCCGCCCTCAAAGCACCGGGGAGGGGAGCCCCCAGCCCCACCCCACTTCATCCTCCCCCCCAAACCGCCCTGCAGGGGCAGCTCCCATCTGGTCCCCAGCGTTCCCCAGGCAGCAGCCGAGCGTGTGGGGAGCTGGCACGGGGTGTGTGGGGGTGACTGTCCCCACCTGCGCACGGGCCCCACGATGGGGCACTGGTTGTGGAATTCAGCCACCTTCAGCACCTCCCCGATGCGGCACCTAACGGATAAAGGGGTAGAGAGAACGTAAGCCACGACCGTAGTTCCCGCAACAGGCCCCATTCCATCGCGGCCTCCCATGGACAGCAGCGGGCACATGGGGCGCACTGGGGTGGGGGGTGTGACGTTATTGACCTAATCTGGGACCGTATAGATCATTGTTGCAACCAAGGTCCTGTCGTGGCACCAAATCTTGTATAAAGGGAGTCAAATGAGGTGTCTCAGACACGGTTACGGTTTGCTGGTTAGGGTTGTGCTGTCTATATGTGGGTATCATTTTTGTAGTTGAAGTTATGAATATTGGCTCTACACTGTCTGTATTTCAAACTTCTGCTCTGCTTCTGGGTGACACCCCAGACAAGTTGGTGTCAGCTCTGCCTAGCCTGCCTGATGGCCCATTAAGGACCATCAGCGACACAACTGACCCATTGAGAGAAGAAAAGGAGTACTTGTGGCACCTTAGAGACTAACCAATTTATTTGAGCATAAGGCAGACACGCCTGGGGACTCAGCGAAATATGCAGGGACTTGCCCATGTGACTCCAAACTCCATTTTGCTGTAATTTTCCACAGTAAGAACAAAGAGGGGTTCTTACACCTGGAGGAGACTATAAAAGGCTGATGCCTCATCTCCATCCTGTCTTCAGTCCTGCTTCTTACCTCTGGAGGGACTTTGCTACACTGAAGTTTTGAACCAAGAACTGAAAGACCCAGCTGGGGATGTTCTCCAGAGACTTGATTTGAACCTGCCGTTTATTCTAGTGCTTCTACAAGCCTGAACCAAGAACTTTGCCATCACTGTGTGTCATTGATTCCATTTGACCAATTCTAGCTCTCATCTGTATCTTTTTCCTTTTATGAATAAACCTTTAGATTTTAGATTCTAAAGGATTGGCAACAGCGTGATTTGTGGGCAAGATCTGATTTGTATATTGACCCGGGTCTGGGGCTTGGGCCTTTGGGATCAAGAAAACCATTTTTCTTTTACTGGGGTACTGGTTTTTATCACCATTTGTCCCCATAACAAGTGGCACTGGTGGAGATACTGGGAAACTGGAGTGTCTAAGGAATTGCTTGTGTGACTTGTGGTTAGCCAGTGGGGTGAGACCGAAGTCCTCTCTGGCTGGCTGGTTTGGTTTGCCTTAGAGGTGGAAAAACCCCAGCCTTGGGCGGTGACTGCCCTGCTTGAAGCAGTTCGTCCTGAATTGGCACTCTCAGTTGGGTCCCGCCAGAACCAGCCTCGTTACAGGGGGCAGATGCTGAGAGGTGCGGGGCACACTGGGGTGGTGGGGGGCACAGGGCGTACAGGACTGGTGGGGCAGGGGGTGTATGGGGCTGGCAGGGCATAGAGGACTGGTGGGGGCGCAGGGCATATGGGGGTGGCAGGAAAGGGGGCACCTGGACAATCCATCCTGGGCCGTCAGCACCAGCTCATACTCCTGGCCCTGCTCAACGTCTGCCAGCAGCACGGTCTCGGGGGGCCCCTCAGCGCCCGGCCCCGCCGGCAGGAACTCGCAGAAAGCCCAGCCCGGGCAGAGCAGGTAGCGGGGGTCGGGCTGCTCCGGCCACAGGTTCACCCCGAGCAGAGCTGGTGGGCGGACACTGTGGGTCAGCAGGGAGAGTACACAGCCCCCAGCCCTCCGGCTACCCAGCCCCCGCAGACAGACCCACAGCGGCCCCCTTGTGCAGCATGGAGACACCCTCTCGGCCTGCAGGAGAATGACCTGAACAGCCAGCACTGGCCCCCCACTGCTACGCGGGGCTGGGGCTCACCACGCCCCCCCATTGCGCAGACACTGGGCTCTGCTTACGGGGCTCCTGCCTGCACAGGGCGCTGACCTGACCCCGCCTGGCTCGGCCGATGCCCCTTTACCTCCTGCTGCGCCGTAGAAGGGGCAGTAGAAGGGGAGGCCCCGGCACTCCGACTCCCGCAGGGCCTCCCCGTAGAGCTGCTCGCCGCTGGGCTCTGCCACCACCACCACCTGGAGCCGCGGCCACAGGCGCTGGGCGACGCCGTCCCAGCCCCTGGTACACTCTGCCCTCAGCTCCGCCGCCCGCGCCGCGTCGGGAGCCAGCAGCCCCTCCAGCCGGCGCCGGGTCCCCTCAGGCAGCTCCAGCCGGGGACTCAGCTTCCCCAAGGCCAGGTCCTGCGCCAGGCCCTCCCAGCTGGCGTGCAGCACGCCCAGGGCATCGTACAGCTCCGAGGCCAGCCCGGCCTCCAGCGCCCGCAGTGCTCGCTCCCGCAGGGCAAACACCAGCTGCACATACAGGGCCGCGGCTCGCGAGGGCACGGTGCCCGCCTCCTCTGGAGTGCAGTACAGGGTGGGCAGCGGCCAGGCTGCGGCAGGCAGGGAGCAGCCCTGGGCCCAGGAGAAGCGGGCCGTGCCCCGCGGGCTCAGGGCCTCCGGGAAGACTCTGCTGAGGATGTCCAGGTACAAGACGGGCCCCTGGGCGGGGAGAGGGGGAGAGAGAGATGGAGACAGAGCCAGGGCAGCCAGATACCAGCCACTGTATCTCCCCCCGCCCCCCCGGGTACCAGCCTGCAACACCCCCTCCCCTCCCCCCCTTCCCCGGGTACCAGCCTGTGAAATCCAGCCCCCCAGGGGAAAAGCCCAGCCTAGGACACCTCCCTCCCCTGTAGCTCTCTCCCACTCAGCTCTCACTCCCCCCAGCCCCTCGGCTCCCTCTGGCTCAGCTCCAGTTTGGGGCAGCAGGGCCGTGTGGCACATGGGTGGGGGGGCTGAGACACATCCCCCCTCCCGGGCACCCTGAAAAGGGGGGAGCCCTGGTCCGCAGGACCCTGCCCCGGCTGCCCCCACGTACCTGCAGGGGGGAGTCCGCGGTGCAGCAGCTCCGAAGCAGAGCCCAGGGCCCCGTCGGCAGTGCCGGGGGGGCAGGCGCCTCGCCCCCCTGGGAGCCGCGCCGGGCCAGGGGGCGACGCTCCCGGAACACGCCCGGGTCTGCGGGGAGAACACGCCGGGGTCAGGCTGAGCCCCCCACGCCCTGCTGGGAGGGGGCGGGCCCAGCCCCCCCGGCCGGGTGCCCACAAGGGGCTGGGGGCCCAGGGACGGGCACCCTCGCCCAGCGCCAGGCCCTGCCCCGGTACCTGGCTCCGCGGCCCCGGCTCGCCCCAGCAGCCGCAGCAGGAGGCGCTCCTGGCTCCGCCGCGCGGCCGCCGACGCCTGCTCCAGATGCCAGCGCTGGCAGCCCACGGCCCGGCCCAGCACCCGCAGCGCCAGCCAGTGCCGGAGAACGAGCCCCCAGGGCCCCCGCCGGCCCCCCCCGGATCCTGCGCCCCCCGGGCGGCAGCGCCAGGCCCAGAGCAGCAGGGCCAGGGCCACGGCCAGCCCGACAAGCAGCATCGCGGCGCTGTGGGGAGAGGGGGGATCGTCAGCACAGAGAGACACACGGACCCCCCCAGCCCCCTGGGCCCCCCAACACGTCAATGGCCCCAGGGCCCCCCACAACCCCACCTGGCCCCCCACCCGGGCCCCCAACAACCCCACCTGGCCCCCCATGCCCCTCACAACCCCACCTGGCCCCCCAAAACCTCAATGGCCCCAGGGCCCCCCACAACCCCACCTGGCCCTCCACCCGGGCCCCCCAATACCTCAATAGCCCCACCTGGGCCCCCAACAACCCCACCTGGCCCCCAACAGCTCCACCTGGCCCCCCATGCCCCTCACAACCCCACCTGGCCCCCCAACACCTCAATTGCCCCAGGGCCCTCCACAACCCCACCTGGCCCCCCACCCGGGCCCCCCAATACCTCAATAGCCCCACCTGGCCCCCCAACAACCCCATCTGGCCCCACAACGGCCCCACCTGGCTCCACCTGGCCCTCACAACCCCACCCGGGCCCCCCAATACCTCAATGGCCCCAGTGCCCCCCACAACCCCACCTGGCCCCCCAACACCACAACGGCCCCACCTGGCCCCCCAACGGCCCCACCTGGCCCCCATGCTCCTCACAACCCCACCTGGCCCCCCAACACCTCAATAGCCCCCCCGGCCCCCGCCAATATCTCGGGTCCCCCAGTGCCCCCGGCCGGTCCCGCAGCCCCCCTGCCCCGCCGGGAGCCGCGTCTCCTACCGGCCCCCCCGTGTCCCCCCCCGGACACTCCGCCTCCCGCTGAAGTGACGGAGAATTAAAGGGACGGGAGCGGCCCCAGCTCTTAAAGGGCCAGATGCCCATTGACCCCCCCCGGGAATGGGGGGTCCCGCCCTGCGGCCCCCAGGGCAGGGGGCACCCAGGGCTGGCGGGCCGGGCCAGGAGTGGGGCGGCACCGGCAGAGCTGGGGGGGGGGGAACAGGGCTGTAGGTCGGGAGTGGGGGGGGGCACCGGCAGAGCTGGGGGGTGGCCCGGGCCGGGAGTGGGGGGGGCACCGGCAGAGCTGGGGGAGGGGGGGCCTGGGCCGGGGGTCGGGAGTGGGGGGGGGCACCGGCAGAGCTGGGGGAGGGGGGGCCTGGGCCGGGAGTGAGGGGGGAACCGGCAGAGCTGGGGGAGGGGGGGCCCGGGCCGGGGTCAGGAGTGGGGGGGCACCGGCAGAGCTGGGGGAGGGGGGGCCCGGGCCGGGGAGGCACCGGCAGAGCTGGGGGAGGGGGGGCCCAGGCAGGGGTCAGGAGTGGGGGGGCACCGGCAGAGCTGGGGGGGGGCCGGGCCGGGGGGCACCGAATGCGCTAAGAGCAGCATGCTGGGCCAAGGGCTCCAGGCACCCCTGGGAGCCGGGCTCGGCTAGAGGCAGGAGACGCCACCAAACCTTCCCCCTGGAACTGGCCTTTCTGCCCCAGTGAGCGACTCGCCGCCCCCCTGGCCCCGACGTCCCAAACAGCGAATCCGAGACCCCCAGCAGAGCTTTCACCTCCAAATGGGAGCAGAGCCGGGGCCCCCAGGAGCCCGCCAGGGAGTCAGCAGTTGCTCTCTATTTTAAGGGGCAGGGGGCCAGACACCATGGTGACGGGCAGGAGGCTACAGCTCTGGGCAGAAACCCAACCCCAGCTGCCAGCCGGCAGGTCACTGAGCCCCTCAGCTCTGCTCCTCCCCTGCCTCCATGACACCCCCAGCGTGGAGACAGCAGGAAAAAGCAGCGACAATCCCCGGCTCCAAGGCCCCTTGCCCAGGCAGCAGCTACCGTCCCCAGCCCAGCAATCCAGGCATTGCCTGCCTGGCCCAGCCCCGGGCTCCCAGCCCCCGGCGCCAACTGGAGGCCAAGCCCAGCCCATTCAGTGGAAGGTACATTGCCCCTCCAAGGAGTTTCTTCCTGCCCCTGCCAGTGGGAGGAGGGCTGGCATCCCTGCCCCCCCAGCAGAGCTGCACCATGGGTTCACGCTCGCCCACTAAAGATCCAGCTCTCTTCCTAGAGCCTGCTCTTGTGGCAGGGAGTCCCGCAGGCCGTTATGCACTGGGTTTGGAGGCTAAGGAACGGCCCAGCAGGAGGTCCCGTCCCCGCTGGGTGGCGTGTGGCCCACAGGACCTGTGGGGGCCAGATGCTGTGGGTCGCAGGAGCCAGGTGCCTGGGGCCTATGGGGGCAGCGCTCAGGGCAGATGAGGCCGGTATTGTGAACACAAAAACACAATTTTGCAGCCCCGGGCAGAGTTGACAATACTTTATTAGTGCCCTGCGCGAGGCAGGAGCAGCCTGCAACACGAAGAGGAGGCAGCTGAAATAATTCAGTTTCCACATACAAGGTTTTCTGGGGGGGGTGGGGGTGGTTGGGTTTGTTTTGTTTTTAAAGAAAATTATCAAAAAGTTTCACCGGGGCTAGTTTTAAAATCATGTATTTTTTTCCTTTCTACAAGAGTCGTGATCTTTAACCTGCGGGTGTCCCACCTCGCATCAGAGCGTTTCCTGCTTCTCTTTGAAATTTGCTTGTAATTCCAAAAGGCGAGAACTCACCCCCACCTGGCCGGGGCTTGGGCAAGAGAATTTTTCTTTAAAAAGAAAAGACTGGAATTGTTTGTTTTCAGGATGATATTAGCTCTATCTGCTGGAGCCAGCCCAGCGCTCCAGGAGCCCGGGGCAGCCCCAGCCCTTGCCCTGCGGGCGTGCAGCCTGGCAAAGCAGGGGGTTGTGGAGTTACGCACATGAAAGGCCACGTGCAGGATTTGCAGCAATGCCGAGCTAAGCACACACTCACGCCAGCTGCCCCCGCTGCCTGCAGCACTGAGCAGGTAAGGGACAGACCATTCGGACCACGCGCCCCGGCCTCCTCCCCACGTGCCCTGCCTACGTCCAGGCCTCGGGGATTTCAGTGACTAGTGCAATGCCCAGGGGCAGACACGCTTTGCACCAGGGCAGCTGGTCCTAGGTTCAAACCAGGACAGACAGCACTGGTGCAAATGGGGTCTGGCGGGGAGCACCTGGCCCTAGCGCTGCTTCGCCAGAGGCTCACGCGGCCACAGCCCAGGACGCACTGGGGAGCGTCCTTTGCAAAGCCTGCCAGGTGACGAGCACGGTGCCTCTGGGCAAGACGTGGCTCAGGGCTGAGCCAGCGGCACGGCTCCCCTCACGCAGCTCAGGGCACTCAGAACACAGGAAAGCAGCAGAGGGACGAGAGGGCCTGGCTGGGGCCCCTGTACGCCCATCGCCAGGTTCAGCACCTGCTGCCTCGGGCCATGTGGGGCCAGTCATCGTCTGGGGGCTGCTGCAAGTCCTCTAGAAAGCGGGGGGAGGAATGTCACAACTCCCCTGTCCTCCTCCACGGAGTCTGACCATTGAACCCAGCTGGCAAATGCAGCGTTTCCCTCACAGCAGCTCCTCCCCCGCACGTCTGCACAGGGCGCAACTCAGCCCTGGGCTCAAACACCTGCTGCCCGGCCCACCGACAGCCCCAGCCCCAGGGGCTCTGTCTGACCCCTCCCCAGGACGTCAGCTAGCTGCTGAGCCCAGAGCTGATGCTCCCACAGAGACACGCGGAATCCAGAGCTTTGTGTTAAAAAAATATTCTGTGCTTTATTTACTCAGCCGTAGAAAAATAATGTCGAAGGGGAGGGAGGGCACCCGGGGCGGGACCGGCAGCCTCTCACCCCAGCCTGAGCCGCGCCTCACCCAGACCCCAGCCGGGAGCCCCGTTCCTCCTGCACACAGAGCAGTCGTGTCCACCTGGAACCCCCTCCTTCCTCTCAGGGTTTATTAAACACCCCCCACCGGTAGGCGTAGGGGAAGGGCAGCGTCCCACTGGCTGAGCGGACACGGGCCACGCAGGAACTGGGAGGAGAAACGGGCCCTGGAGGGGCGCCTTCCCAGCAAGCCACTCCCAAGGCGCAGATGCTGCTGCCTAGGCTGAGAAGAAAGAGTCTTTGCCCCCAGGTCTCTGTGCACACAAACAGGACCCAACGCACACGCACACGCCCCCCGGGACGGGGGAGCTGGTAACAAAAGGAAGGAATTTGAACACAGAACTCCTAGATGTGACGATTACTGCAAACAACCTCCCAGGCCCGCCCCCCACGCTGAGAGGCCCCTGGGCACAGGGGCAGGGATCCGAGTCCAGCGGGTGCTGAAGCACATGGGGTCCGGGGATCTGCTGCACGGGGAGGAGCAGCGCTGCAGAAGCGAGAAGCTGAAGGCAGGCCTCAAAGGAACAGACAGGGAAACCCTACGACAAGCCCACTGCCTTTAGTACACGGGGATAAACACCGAAGAGCCAAGCGCAGCCATGGACACTGCAGCTGGTGCAGAGCAAAGCCCCCGGACGAGCACCCCCCACACAGGGGCCCACGCACAGAGACACCAACACAGGGCTGCTCTCCACGGGGCACGCGCCCCGGATCGTCTCCCAGGGACACGGCTGCCGGGCTGGGGCCGTACCACGGCACAGGGTCACGACTGGCTGTGGGGGATCCACTGAGTGTCCATGGGCCGCCGGAGAAGCTCCTCCACGTGTCGTGCGACGTCCATTGTATCGTCCAGGTCGAACTCGCCCTCGGGATCCAGGACGGAGTCAGGGCTGAGAGAGAGAGACAGGGCGAGCCTGGGGGAGGCATCCCAGAATAGGCACGCCGGGGGGCCGGGAGCAGCATGCTCCAGCTAAACATGCCCCCAGCACGGGGGAACCCCTCGCCCCCGGAACGCGGCTCAGGCCTGGGGAAGGAGCAGCACCTACTTCTGCGGGTAGACGTTGTAATGCGGCTGGGAGCACACGGCCGGCGACGGTGCCTGATCCATGTAGGTGACCGTTCCGGCGGCGGGATCCCCGGAGGCGCTGGCAAACCTGGAACAGATGAGGGACCGGCGCGTCAGCTGGGCTGGGGGCGCCAGGGCCATGGGGAGGGTGATGAGAGTGGGGAGGCGAGGAGGCACTGCACCGAAGGGCAGGCTGCAGCTCTGTCCCACTCTGCCGGCTCCTCTCCCTGGCTGCAATGGCAACTTCTGTCCTGCTGGCCCCGTGGCCTTGGGCTACTGATGGTAGCCGAGGGATTTCACATGGGTCCAGCTCCTGAATCGATGCCGTCCTCAGCTCCCTGGGGCCAGGGGGAAGGAGGCCGTACCCACGGCTGTGTCGATGGTCCTTTACACCCTCCCACGCAGTCCAGGGGAAGCCATGTCGGTGGGAACGGCCACAATCAGAGCTGGCCTCATCTGTGCAGATCCTGCTCGGCCCATACCAGCCCCTCCCAAGTGCCCAGCAAACACCCCCGTAGCCAGTTCACTTCTCAGGGGTGTTTTAAATCCTCCCAGTGCGGCACACACCCAGCGCAGAGCCAGGCTCCAGCCCTGCCATAGGATCCTGACACCCATCACTTCCTCCTGCAGCCTGTGGGGCCGCCTGCTGGGGCTGCCAGCCTGGAGTGCTCCTCCCCTGGCCACCTGCTCTGCCCCCTGTGAGCAACAGGGCAAACAGCTTCCCCCCCCACCCACCCCCCACCCCATGGTGCCTGCAGCACGCAGGCCCATCCCCTGGTAAGGCACAAGGCTGCGGAAGAGACTCGGGGCTGGGACACTGGTTCAGAATCTGACATTTCCTCAACAAGGGGTGTTAACGGAGGGGAAGAGGGAGACACGGGCCGAGGACAGCACACAGACAGACGCACGCACGCCCAGATGGACAGACAGACGCACGCCCAGACGGACTTACTCTGGCACCACTTGTTTGATCTGTGGCTTCACGTATCCATCCACGGCTTTAGCTACAGACAGGGCGAGAGAGAGAAGACAGCGCTAAGGCATGGAGAGGCCAGGGGACGTTCCAGGCACTGACCCGACAGCGTCACCTGGGCTAGCAGCTGGTCGGCACGAGGACTCCGATGAGCAGGAGAGCCCATCAGCACTGTCGGGTTCGGGTCTCTGTGCCATGAGGCCGTACACCACTGAGAGGAACCGTTGGCTGCTAACGGGCCAGGCCCTCAGGGGTACGAGCTGATGCCAGCTCCAACAGCCCCAGAGCCTGCTGCAGGGCGAGGGGAACACAGGCCAGTGCAGGGCCCAGCGCTGCATGGCGCACTCACAGAGAACCGGCGTGTAGTACTTGGAGAAGACCTCGTCCTTGGGCCGGTCGGGGAACACGTAGATGAGGTAATTGAGGTCACCCAAGCGGTCGGCTAGCGAGCGGATGGAGAAGTCTCTGGTCGTGAAGGGCATGAGGTTCCAAAACATCCTCTCAGCTAGAAACGCAACAGCAGAGAGATACGACAGTGAAACACAGAGCCCAGAGCCGCGGGTCTCCTCCGTGTCGCAGAGGGGCCTAAGAACAATGCTGCTTAAGACAGGCCCTTGTGCGGCACAGCTGGCCCCTGGGAGCCAGGCCTCGAGGAACTGCAAGACTGGCTTCAAAATCATGAGACCTCCAATAAGAATCAGCATTGGGTTCTTTTTCTCCACCTTCTGCCTTTGAGCTTTAGGATTCCCTCCCTGCATCCCCCAGGGCTGGAAATGTATTGTTTGTGTACACAAAAGGTGAGATTCTCGCGGAATCGCCTGAATCCGGGAGCTGGGGCTTTAAGAAAAAAAACCCAAATATAGCCGAACTTGCAGTTCAAGTCCCGTGAGTTTCCCACCGGCTCGTGCAGAGCGCCAGGGCTGCCGCTGCATTCAGGGCGTACAAACTCCTCTGACATGTTTCACGAGCATAGTTGTTTAAAATCTCAAGTTAATAAAAACAGCTTTTCTTTGAGCTCACCCGCTCCCTTGCAGCACATCATCTGACACAACAGCTCCACAGAGAGCCAGAAAGTGAAACTAACTAGAAACCAAAGTGAACCGAAAACTCTGCTGTGATTGGCCAAGCTGAGCTGAGAGGCAGAGGTGAGGCAGAGCCGTGAGGCTATTTCAGGGTTAACATGGAGTCTAGTTCGTTGCGAGTGGCACTCTGCTCTGGTTGTATTTTCACATAGGTCTCTTTAAACACAGCTCTCATGACAGAACACCCTTTAGAAGATTTACCGAACTGCTCAGCATGGACCCGCCGCACAAGGGCCTGCCCTGGATTTCATAAATGGGAAGAGAATCATTGTGACAGCCTGGAGCAGCCTAGGTCACGTGTTCTGAGCTAAAAAGAGAAAACCCAAAGCTACCCTTTCCAATGGCTTTCCAGAGCTCCCAGCCAGCCAGCGGAGGCCTGCGTCCTCTAGCCAGTTGTGCTAGTATAGTAAATGGTGCAACCACCCTAGCATAGCCGAGGTTAGACAGCAGGGCAGGGCTTGCACCAGCATAGCCTGGTCCTGCATGGGAAGGGGGCTACGCTATCCTGGCCTGAGCACCTTTATCTAGTCTCCTGACATCGGTAACAAATCAGCACAGCACAACCTCTAGGACAGAGGTGGGCAAACGACAGCCCACGGGCCGTCAGGGAACAGGGGGCGAGAAGCAGGTGGGGAGGGTCGGATAGGGGGCGGGGGCCAGGCCATGCATGGCTGTTTGGGGGCGCACAGCCTCCCCTAACCAGCACTCCATACAATTTCAGAAACCCGATGCGGCCCTCAGGCCAAAAAGTTTGCCTGCCCCTGCCCTAGGAGCACAGCTGGCCTTCCAAGCAGGAGGAGCCAGAAGCAGGAACTGGCCCAGCACGACGACTGGGTTTGTTCTGCACCATGCCCAGCTCACGGGTCATGAACTGACTCACGGGCCAGGGCTGAGCTGGCCCTGTTCCAGCCCCAGGCATGGATGTGGCTCCAGACTGCCCCGGCCCACCCTGACTCACGTGAGTCAAACTTCCAGGCGATGGTGATGCCCCCGATCTCGGAGTCACTGAACCGCAGCAGGAAGGTCCCATCCGGCTTGTTGATCAGCAGGTCGTGTGCTTGCTGCTTGTTGACGAAGCCCAGGATGGCCCTGGAGCACAGAAAAGGGGGGTGAGGGGCTGGCAGTCGGGGGGAAGGGGGGTTGTGCCGTGTCGGCCGTTACGGGAAGGAGGCTCTCACCCGTCGTTCCAGTGAGGCTTAAGATGCTTCTTCAGCACCTCCATGACCCCATCGAACCACTGCCAGAAGGTGTAATTCCGCCCTGGCAAGTTTTCCTGGGTAAAGAAAAAAGACCGTGAGCATGTCTGAGCCCAGCATGCCCTACGACAGCCACTCCCGTCCTCCAGCCCCGCTCTGGCCACAGGGCTTGGTACCAGGGATTCATGCACACCTAACGTGCATGCAGGCATCACGATGAGCACTGGGTAAGCAGGCTCTGTTCCTGGGAGCAGCTGGGGGCACAGTCCTGCCAGCGCAGGCAAGCCTGGCATCTCTCCCGTGCTAGTCAGAGGGAGGCAGGCAGCAGAGTGGCACAGCGGAAGTGTGCCAGGCCCCTAACCCAGAGGGTGACGGATTTCCACCATCCCCGCCTGCTTCCTTGGGAGGGGAAGGCTGGTCCAGTGTCAGTGTGAGCTGGGGCCAGCGTCCCATCTCTCACAGTCTGTCAGCACCGTTTGCTTCTTGCTCCTTCCCACATGCCATGCGCTGTTCTGCAGCGAGATGCGACTGCCAGCCTGTGCCAAAGGGATTCCTGGCAGGGTGCACAGATGGGACAGCAAGTCTCCACACCTGGCCAGTAGCCCGGGGGGAGGTGCACTGCTGGGGCATCTCACCAGTACCCACAAGTGATGCCACTCGGCTACTACAGGATCCCTTCCCCCACCCCGCCCCCAGCTGGCGCCCCTGTTGCCCTCCCGGCCGGGGCCCCCCGGCAGAGGCTGGCGGTGTGGCGCAGCTCACCCTGTTGAACTGGGACCAGGAGACGGACATGGCGCTGTACTCCTCCAGCTGGCCACTGCTGCTGTTGAAGAGCTTCTGGGCCAGGAAGAGCAAGTTCTCCTTCGTCAGCCCCCGGCTGCTCTGCACCTCGGCCTTGAACTTCATGTTGAGCGCCTCGCACAGCTGGGGCCACAGCACCTTGTCGGGCACGGCGAACGGCACCCGGCCCTGCGGGAGGGGGCAGCGCGGGAGCCTGGGGTCAGGGGGGCTCCAGCCGCACCCGGGCAGGGAACCCAGCGGGGAGAGCTCCGGCCCCAGGAGCCAGCAGCATCCATGCACTATCCCAGTGCCCCCCTCCTGTGGCACTCACCCCCTGCGCCCCCCTCCAGGGTCCCCCTCCGCCTGCCCCTGTGCCGCCAACTCCCGGAGCTCCCCTCCTCAGACCTCCTGTCCCCCTCCCCCTGACCCTCACCCCCCTGCGCCCCCGACCCCCACTCCCAGAGCTCCCCTCGCCCGCCCCGTGTGCCTCCCTCCCCCAGAACTCCTGGTGCAGAGGCCAGCTGAGGGCAGGAATGGGAGACTGCCCAGGCGAGAACAGAGAGGGCTGCAGGAGGGGCCAGGTGCGGGGGGCCCAGACCAAGGGACCTGATGATGTGGGGGGCCCAAGGGCAATGCACATCTGGGGCCCCAAGTGAAGCGGGGCAGGCCCCCCGGGTGTGGGACTCTGCCCCCCGGCGGCGCTGGCTGCTCACCGGCTCGGCGAAGGCGTTATCCCAGAGCACGGTGGCCGTGGCGTTGTTGTCCTGGCTCCCGTGCACGATCACCACCACGGGCAGGGACAGCGTCTGTGGGAACCGGCAGGGCCGGGCTGAGTGTGGGGCGGGGGTGGGGGCTGGACCCAGCTCCGGTTCCTGCCCTTCCCCCACCTGCCGCTGGGCGACTCTCAATCAGACCAAGCCCCCCCCGTGCTTCTCGCCTCCATGCCCACCCACGGACCCTGCGCCTCCCGGGGCTGCCCCGGCTCGTGACCGAGGCTCAGGAATTCCTGTGTCCCTCCCTCAACCCGGAGGGACCGTCCTGGGGACGGGCGACACGGCCAAGCCTGACACCAGCCCCAGAAGGGCTCCTGGAGCCCCCAGCGCCGGGCAGGGCCCTGGGCAGCGGTGCCGGCTTTACCTTGACCTGGAAGACCAGCTCGTTGCCGCCGACGCTGAACTGCGACTCGAAGAGGATGGTGAACTTCTCCTCGGTCACCGACTCGGCGCCACGCCGATCCGAGCGCTTGATGCGCTTCAGGGACTGCGGGAGGCAGGGGAGAGCGTGAGAGGCGGGTGGGGGCAGGGGGCAGGGGCGGTGCCTGCGGCCCGGCTCTCACCATGTTCCTGAAGTGGGCGCTCAGGGTGCCCGTGGCTTGGTGGTACTCCATCACGCAGCAGTTGTTCAGGATCTCCCCACTGCTCTCGCTGCAACGGGAAAGGCAGGTGAGGGGGGCCAGGCACTGGGCCAGCTCCGACGGCCAGGGGGGATGGGGGGGACTGGGCGGTGCCAACAGTCACCATGGGGGGCAGCTCGGGGACTCCACTGGGGGTGCTGGGAAAGGGGCCAATCGCCAGCCCCACAGGCGTGCGGCTGACCCTCCCTCCACTCAGCGATACCCCGGGGGTCAGAGGGGGCCACACGCTGGGCTGGGCTCTCTCCGGGGGATCCAGGCTACGTGAGCAATGGGACGCAGAGACAACAAGGGACCAGCCCCACAGGGTCCTGCCAGAGCCCCCCAGTTACCCCACCCAGTTACCCCGGGACTCAACAGGAGCCGCGTGGCTCAGCAGAGCCAGCTCGGGTGTCCCCCAGGACCTGCCCCGGGCGAGTGGCGGGGGGGCATTACTTGCGGGTGCTTTCGTTCTTCAGCAGGGCCTTGGCTTGCTGCTCGCTGATGATGGTGGCCTTCACCTGGGGCGGGTTCATGTGCACGTTCAGCTTCCCCCCCACCAGCAGCCGCACCGTGGCCGCGAACTTGGTCTGCGTCTTCAGCACCTGGGGGGGCTGCTTCTCGATGATGAAGGTGCTGGGGGGAGGAGCCAGCATCATGGGGCCTGCGGCTGCGAGATGGGCCCCGGGGCCGGAGCTACAACCTCCAGGTGCGGGGAGGGGTAACGAGACCACCACATCCCCGCCCTGGCTCACAGCACCTGCGCCCAGATCCCCCTTCCAAGCCCCCGAGCCAGGTCCCCCCCCACCCAGAGCGCTTGCCCCACGAGCCCCTTTCTCTCGCCACCCGCCTGCAGTGCCAGCGGCCCCCCCGGCCCCCCGACCTAGCCGGCCCGTGGCCCCTCGCAGCCCAGGTCCTGCCTGGTCGGGTCAGAGTCTGAGCCTGTTCCCAACCGTGCCCTGAGCTCAGCCTCAGCCCCGCCAGCCCGTGTGGGGCAGATGGCCCAGCCCAGCTCTGTCCCCCGAGCCCGTGTGAGGCAGACGGGCCTGAGCCCAGCCCAGCTCTGTCCCCCGAGCCTGTGTGAGGCAGACGGGCCTGAGCCCAGCCCAGCTCTGTCCCCCGAGCCCGTGTGAGGCAGACGGGCCTGAGCCCAGCCCAGCTCTGTCCCCCGAGCCCGTGTGAGGCAGACGGGCCTGAGCCCAGCCCAGCTCTGTCCCCCGAGCCCGTGTGGGGCAGACGGGCCCAGACCCAGCCTGGCTCTGCCAGCCCGTGTGGGGCAGTCAGACACAGCCCAGCTCTGCCCCCTGCATTATTACCTGGTCACCAGGGCGGAGATGATGTCTGTGATGGTGCCATTGAGCTCAGCCAGCATCTCCTCTACGGGCCCCGGGATGGGCAGCTGCTGGCACAGGTGCTCGGCCCGACGGATCTGCTGCCGGTTCTGCCAGATGATCTCGGCCAGCTTCTCACACCTGGGGCGAGGGGCCCCCGGGCCAGGTCAGCCCTCTGGCAAGGCCCAGGGACATCACAGAGCCCCAGGCCGTGGCGTCCCGTGTCTGCTGGTCATGGGGCTCCCTGTCTGTGCCTCCCCCACGGGCACCCCCCAGGCCGCGGTGTCCAGGCCGAGCCAGGCCAACACAGGCTGGAGCGGTCCGGCCTTAGCCTAGCCATGTGGGGAGCTCAGCCGCCCCAGGAATCCAGTCCCACGTCCCTCGCGATGGGGGCAGGGGACCCCTGGTGCCCTGGACTAACAACGCCAGCGAGGGCAGTGTCACCCACCAGGGTCACCCCCGGGGCTGCCTCTTGCGACCCAGGGCAGCACGGTGACTCCCCCGGATTCCCTGCTGCCGGCGGCACCGTTCGCTGGTTTCCCAGCCAGCCGCCATGGGGCCAAGCGGCAGCTCCCGGGTGCCCAGTCCCCATTTCCCATAGGGCTGCGAGCCCCGTTCCCGGCAGCGCTGGGAGGGGGGACGCACCAGGACTGCAGCACGTCCAGGGTGCCCTCGGGAGGGCCGCCGTTCCCCGCCAGCTGCTGCCGCCGCTTCCACTGAATCAGCTCGTCGTCCAGGATGGTCGTCTGTTGCTTGCGCAGCAGCTGCAGGGTTTTCTGGTGCTTCTCTGCCAGCTCCTGCGAGGGGACGGGCTGTTAGCGGGGGACGGGGGCGTCACCGCCCCCTGCTGGCACCAGGGCAGGGAGTGGGGGCCCCTGGGTCGGCACTCACCACTCGGTACTGCTGTAGTGTCTGGGCCTCCCGGTGCAGCCAGGCCTCCAGCGACGCCTTCTTCTGCTGCAGTGTCGTCTCGCGGGACATGCGCTCCTGGGGGCCCAGCTGGGAGAGCTGGGAGAACTGGGCTGGGGAGGAGGCCAAGAGCGTTAGGCCTGAGCCCCGCCTGCCCCGGGGGCTCCCCGACCCTCGGTGGCATCCCCAGAACCCCTGCGCCAGGCCTGCCCCTGGGGTGGGGGGAGACTCGCTCCCCGGGCCCCACGGAGCCGGTAGGGCGGTGCTGAGCTGGGGACTCCCATGGGACTGCGAGGGGAGGGGAACCGTCCTGGGAGTGCTCAGATACCTGCAGCCTCCTCATGGGGGTGCGGTGGGCAGGTGGGTGAGATGATGCCCCCCCAGATGCTATGGCAGAGTTTCCCCCGCGCCAGCTGCAGCCCCCGCCGGACCCAGCCGGAGCCCAGGGCCTGGCGCCCCCTCGGCAGCTGGGATGGGGCAAGTGCTTCGGCACGTTTGCTGGCACGGGCTGGTGTCTCCCCAAGGACGGGATCTCAGGGCAGGTCCCTGCCCCCAGCAGTCCAACCCCACGGCCCCTCCCTCTCCCCATGGCTCGAGCGCCCCCCATCCCCCCACCTTGGAGGCGCATGTTCTCCTGGTACTGGATGATGAAATACTCCTGCGTCTGCTGCAGCTTCTTCAGCTCGTTCTCTGTGTCCTGGGTGACGAGGCGTAGCTCCTCGAAGGTCTGGTTGATCTGCAGGTGCTTCTGGGACATGGCGTCCGCCAGGCTGCTGGCCGGGGAGGGGCTCTGCAGAGAGAGGGCACCAGGTCAGTGCTGTGCCCCCCACGCCTGGGGCAGGGAGAGGCCGGGCTGCAGGGGCTGCCATGGGGGGCAGCGATGGGCCCCACAGCACGGAGGCCGAGGCTCACGCCATGGGGCAGTGGCTGGAGCCATGTGCACAGGGTGGGGTGCGGGGCCCCGGGGTGATCCCAGCAGAGTCAGCGCCGGGGCTGGGCTGGGGCAGTGTCCCTGGGGCCCCAGAAAGATGGGGAGAGAGACAAGGCCCCCCTGCCTGGCTACTCACGTTCGTGGCCTCCCGAACCAGCCGCTGCTCATGGTACAGGATGTGGCGGATGCAGCGCACCAGCTCCATGGGGCACCGGTCGTACGTGTTCTGCAGCAGGGAAAGCAAAGGCCCTGAGCCAGGGGCAGAGCGGGGCTAGTCAGGGGCTCTCACCGGCCCAGGCTGGGGGAAAAGGGGTGCCATGGGCACTGGGCGGGGGGGCTGCTCCTGCCCTAACCTACCTTGCCAGCATCCCTGCTCCCAGGCCACGTGGGGGAGGATGGGGGTCACCCCAGCCAGCCTGTGCCAGGACGGCAGCTCCCCTTGGCCAGACGAGGAGCCTGCGGGGGACGGAAGCGGCTGGGGGGGCTGCGACATGCCAGGTGACGGAGGGGCTCAGCGATGCGCTGGTCCCACGCGGTGAGGAGAGGGGAGCGACGGGCACCAGGCACCTGCCATCACACACTCTGCCGCTGTCCCAGACCCTTGCTACGCGCCAGGCTTGGCCAGCCCACGGGGGAGCGCCCAGTGGGAGTGACCGGCCGCTGGCAGGACACGAGGGGAAAGGCTGCCCCATTGCGGCTCTGGGCACTGACCTGCAGCTGAGTGGCATAGTGCCCCAGCTTGATCTTCAGCAAGAACCCGTCCTCGCCCACTTGGTGATCTGCCTTCTTCTGCAGCTCCTGGATCAGCCCCTCCAGCAGCTGGGTGGCTTTGAGGTTCTCCTGGGGGTTATCGAGGTCGATGGAGTCCCTGGCACAGAGAGAGACGGGGGATGGGTGGAGGGCCCAACTCGGCACAGGGACTGCATCTAATGCGGGAACCCAAACCCCACAACTGAGGCCCCCCTGTGTCCATCCCTCAGCCAACTGGGATGATCCGGCCAACCCACCACACAAAGCCCAGAGCGAATGGGAGTGAAGTCCTGCCCCGACTCTGCTCTCCCGACCCTGCCCCTGCCCTCCAGCACAGCGCCAGCCCCCCATTGCACAAGGACCCCAGACCAGACATGTGGGTCGCAGACAGGGAGGGCCCTACCTTTCGTTGGGGTGTCTCCAAGCACCATGGTGGGTAAGGGGAAAGTGAGGCCCGGAGTGCAGCAGCGACTGGCCAAGGCCTCAGAGAACAGGTGGCAGGACAGGGAGGAGGAGGGCCAGACCAAAGAGTTCCCAGGCTCGGCTCTAACCATTAGGCCAGGCTCCACTCACTCCAACAGCCCAGGGGACCTCGCAAAGCCTTAACCTTCCGCCTCCTCCCAGCTCTGAGTCTTCCGGCCCCACCCCCGTGCCTCGGCCCTGCCTGGGGACAGGCGAGAGGAAGCTGTGCAGCTGGTCTATGTGCCATGGCCTCTGGAGTGTAGCGCTCAGTGGGGATCCGCCACAGACACCACTGACCAGAGCCAGCGGGTTGGTAAGGCCAGGCCCACAGCCCCATTTCCAGCCCCTTAGACACGGGTTTGTCAGGGCACCTGGCAGCCAAGCCACGTCTCCTCTCGATGGCCTGAAGGACCGACTGGAGTGCGTCAGGTAGCCGTGGGGCGGGCTCACCTACCATGCTTGGCTCTCGATCCACTGCGAGAGGTAATGCCGCACCTCGATGGGGAAGTGCTGGCCGTACAGCGCCTGCATCTGGCGCAGGGCCTCGCCCTGCAGCTGCTGGGCCTGGATCCACACAGCCATTGTTCAGAACCTGGGGGGCAAGGAGACGCCATCAGGACAAGGACCCTCTGTCCACACTTAGGGGGAGAAGGGCCCTCTGTGCCATCAGCCTAGAGCAGCGTCAGACAACGGCTGCCCAGGGCAGCCTCTATTCTAATGCGGGAGGGAGACTTCCTGGCTCTGACATCACAGGGCACTGCTGGGAAAGGCTTCTGGGGACCCAGGATCGGACTCCCCCTCCGCCTCCCGGGGGGGGGGGGGGCACTGAAGAATCCAGTTATGTACAGTCCCTTGTAATCTCATGCAACACAATAACCATCTCCCTTAGCATGCACCCAGAGAGCTCAGCCTCAGTCCAGGCAAGTGAAGTCATCCATTGTGAAAAGGGGACAGGGGTAACTGACCAGTGCAGAGAGGAAATGTCCGCCCCAGCGCCCGGCCCCCTTCTCCGGCCCCTTGCCCGCCTTCCTCAGCTGCCTTCCCTGGCTTCCCAGTGCCCAGACAACTTCCCCAGCCCTTTGCCCGCCTTCCCTGGCCACCTTCCCTGAGCAGCTGATGGGAGGAGCTGGCTGAGGGTGTGACGGAACAGGCCAGCACCCACCCATTCAGGAATCACCCACGTGCACATGGCACAGGTTCTCGGGGGTTCGCCCAGTACAGCCCATGCAGTCCAGCTCCTCGGGGGCAGAGACACCCATCTCTGCTACAGAACGGTCCCTGCCCTGTTAAACTGCCATGGGAGCGTGAAACGACCAAGCGTTCAGGGCCCTTCATCCAGGACAGCACAGGGATGGGGTCTTACGTGCCTCCCGCAGGGTCCTTGCAGCACGCAGACCTGGGGGCCCGGGTTCAGGAGCACGCTCGGCACACGCCCGCTATCCGCTGTACACAAACACTCTGGAGAAAAGAAACGGGCGAGGTCGCGGTCGGTTCTGAAATCAGATTCTTGGAGCTATTTCAGGCTAGTAAGACTCTCCAAACACTAGGGGAGAGGTGCCAGCTTCTATTCTGGGCCCAGGCCACACCACGCAGCCATGTTCTTGCCTTGCACTTTATTCTGGGGGTTTAGGCATTTAAACTGGCTCGTGGCGAGAGCACACACGGCAACAAATGCAATCCCTGGAGGCAAATATAGAATGGCCGGACAGAGCCAGCGCCTATAAAAAGCAAGAGCTTCCCTCTTCAAGCTTGACAGGTCTTGGAAAAACAACTCGTCCGACAGAGAGTTTTTACAGGTGACGCAACAAAGCACACGAGAGGAGCTCATGGGCCGGGGTGAGCAGCGCCAGCCTAGCGTGCTGGTATAAATACCACAAGCACAGACAACCTTACAGAACATGACTCAGGGTTCAAATCAAGCACTGAAAAGTTAGGAAATGCCACAATTAATGCCTGGGCAACCTTCCTTTGGCACTTCCTAACTGCTGAGTGTTCAACTTCGTACCCTTAACAACATTCGTTTAAAACAGTTTTCTCTGTGCAATTTCCTAGGTTTTTAGGAAAACAAATGAACTGGGGAAGAATCTGCCAAACCCCCCAGACATGAACTCCAACACATGGCACCACGTCGACCCCCAGGTGTCATCAGCAGGGTTGGACCTTCACATCCACCACACAGACCTCTGCCACTTGAGCGAAGCATTAACCCACAGCAGTAGTAGGTTGTCATTCTGTACATGCACCAAAGCTAGAGGCGGATGAGCCCCTTAGCTGGTGGTTTCACCTCATTCCTGACAGCAGAGGAACGCTGAGCCTTAGAAGCCGTGGGTTCCAGGCTCTGGACAGGAGTGTGCTCTCGTGGTCCCAAACCCAGCTGCCCATTCCCCCCATGCTTGGCCTCTTCTGCCCTGTCCCCTCCAACCTGTCCCAGTTCTGGCTCTTCCACACCCCTGGCTCCCTGTCCCATTCTCCTCACCCAACTAGTTCCTGTCCCCCTACCCAGACTGTCCTAGTCGCCCATCTGGAGTTCCTTTCCAAGTTTCCACTCACTTCCAGTGATCTCCTCCATCAGCTCCTGTCTCCCTCCCACCCCCTGCCAGTTCCTAGTCCAGTCTGTCTCTCCTTCCCCCCAGCCTCCTCCTGCCTCGTTCCCCAAGCCCAGTGGTTCCCAGTGCCAGGCTCCCTCCCTGATCCCCTTGTCCAATCTCGGAGCCTCCCCAGCCTCTTTGCCCAGCTAAGCCCAGTTCTTCCCCCATACCCAGGTTCCCTTGCCTCCTTCCTCCTGCCCTACTGGTTCTCAGTCCAGCCCCCTTGCTGAACTAGTCACCCCACTATTTCCCTCCCTGGTTCCCAGGCCTCAACCCTCAGGCCCGGTCTCTCCTGGCCCCAGTCTCCTGCACCCCATTTACAGGTAGGCCACACTTCCGGGAGGGGAACTCTCAGGGACTCAGAAAAAAAGCGGGGGCTGTGGGGGATAATCAGCCGAACATGAGCACCCAGCGTGATGCTGTGACCAAAAGTGCTGATGTGACCCCGGGCAGCAGAAACAAGGAACCTTGAGCAGGAGCAGAGAAGGTTATTTTACCTCCGTGTTTGGGCCGGCTGGAATCCTGTGCTCAGTTCTGGCGCCAACAGTTCCAGCAGGATGTTGGTAAATTGGAGAAAGGTCAGAGAAGAGCCCCGAGAATGATGAAAGGTTCAGAAACCTGCCTTACAGTGACAGACTCAGGGAGCTCAGTCTATTTAGCTTAACACAAAGATGGTTCGGGGTGTAAGTACCTACGTGGGGAACAAATATTTAATAACGGGCCCTTCAGTCTAGCAGAGGAAGGTCTAACCCAGTCCCGTGGCTGGAAGCGGACACTAGACGAAGTCAGACTGGAAAAAAGTGAGGGCTACGAACCATTGGACCCCAGCAGCACCCTAGCTCAGCGTGAGCTGTTCTGGGGCCCCAGGGCACAGCACTCACCCCCAGCGTCAACGAGGCAGCTCTGAGCCTCACACCACATATGGCGAATCCCAAGCTCCTGCTAAGCAGTGGGGGCTGCGAGCATGCGGGGGGAGGGACGGGGAGAACAGGAAAGGTTCTGTGCAGAGCTGAGTGCCATACAGACCCCTAACCCTCCCATGCTGGCATCTCACCAATGCCCCAGGAAGCTTTTGCTGGAGATCCTGGGGGCTGGCAGCAAACTCTCTCCTTCCAGCACAGAGCGGTGGCCCTGGCGACAACTCTCTCTCTCGGCCCCGAGGCAGAAGCTGATGGTCCCTTCCCCGAGTGCCGGGGATACTCACGGCAGGAACAGGTGTTCTCCGCGCTCTGCCCTGTCCCATGCACCGCCCTGGCAGCGCCTTGCCAGCCACCTGGGCACCCTGACCCTGGGCACCGAGGGGGATCCTGCCTCTTGGCGAAGGGGTCGCGCCCGCAGGGACAGCCTAGCGTGGCAGCCCAGCGCGGCCGCTCCTCAGGCTGCCTGCTACAGGAAGGAGTAAAGAGCAACTGTTTCCTTCCAAAACGTCAGCTGCCTCTCGCAGACCAAACAGCAAGCGCTGGGCTCCTGGCAGCTTCCTCCCCGCCGCGGCTGCGAGCGCGCGGCCGTGCGCAGATCCAGCCATGCTCACTGGGAGCGCTAGTACCAGGCCGCGTGGGGCCGGCAGCGCACAAGCGTCTCACTCAGCTGAAGACAGGCCATAAAACCAGCGGGGCAGCGTCCCACTGCAGGGCCTCAGGAGGTGTTTGCACCTGGGGGTCTCCGTGCCTGGCTGCTCTTCAGCAGGGCACAGAAGAAAGGGAAGGAGGCTGACCTCAGGCCTGCAGAGACCACACGTACTCAGTGGGCCACGACATGAGCTGTGACCCTCTCGCCTCACACCAGCACTCGCTGCTGCTTTGGTATTACGGGACCCAGAAGTGCCCTGGGCACCTGGCAATGCCAGGAGAGACCAACCTGCCCAAGGAACTGAAACACCAGGGCCCCAAGCCTGCTGGGGGGGCGGGGTAGGGAGACAGCAGGAGGCAAGGAGAGGCATTTAATGAAAGACACAGAACACACAGCACCCTTGGCTGTGCCCAGGAAGGGCTCCTAAGGGTGGCTCTGAGGAGGGGATGGGCGATGCCTACCCTGGAAGCATGTTTACTGCCATCAGGCCATGTGAAAATGTCTCTCTTCCAGCAGGGCCATGCTGTACTTCGCACTGCTTCACAGCCCACGCACAGCCCGCCTTGCCTCTCCCACTTCTCAGTGAGCATTTCACAGCCTGTGCTGGCGGCTGGGCTCCCCCACCAAGGTCACTGTTCTTACGAATACAGCACAGGGTCAGTGGTGGGGTGCAAGGAGCCAGCCACAGAGTTTACCCAGCCTCCCCAGCAGCTGGCAGGCTGAGCCCACGAGCAGGCACTGGCTGCTGCACCTTCGTCTCTATTTGAATATCATTTGTGCACTCACTGCTTGGCAGCATTCAGCCACCAGCCCAGTCCCAGCAGCCTCCGTGACGCCCAGTGCGACAGCCGGGGCCGACGGGCTAGGCATGCTTCGGAAGTAGCACCTGGAGTGAAGTTCTGGGAGGCTGCGCTCACCCCCAGTGCCTTATGGAGCTCAGCAGGGGCCCCACCAGCAATAAAGGGGCAGGGCTCATGGGAGAGGAGGGATGACAGCCCAGAGCCCACTGCCAGGGGACTACTCACTAAGCAGCCTGGGCAACCAAGCATTCAGAAATCGTGAGGCAAGCCCTACATAGATCTTGGGTTCCTTTCTTTATCTTCTGTGGATAAAGCCATCAGGTGCCATGTCGCGAGCTTTTCTCTGCAACGACGAGGCTACAAATTCCCTTCAGACAGATTCTCACAGAATCTCAGGATTCCAGAGGCTGGAATTTTAAGAGGCTCACCAGACTAGCTGGTGAACCCCGCCAGGGCCCAGGGACAGTGCAGGCAGGGGAGATGGAGATGTAAACTCCTTACCTCCCCTCCACGTCGCCTGCAAGCCCTTCGCTTTGGAACTGACTGTGTGGTTGGGTCGCTTCACGTCTGCCTGTGGTTTCCAGCACGTTTGTTTCAGGCAGAGCTGGCACCAGCTGGGCTGGAGAGACAGGCTGCTCTAAAGGTTTGGTGCATCAACAGGTTTTTGTTCTTCTCTTGCAGAAGAGCACAGTATTCGCCCTGCCAGTCTTTCACTGCAGCTGGAGACAAAGAACCAGCTTCTCCGCACAGCCCAGCCGGCGCTCCCCCAGACAGCCCACACTGGAATGATCTGTGCCAGGCGAGCGAGGGAAGGGAACGTCAAGGCCCGCTCCGCACTCACAGAAGAGAGACAGTATCAGTTGTGGAAATAAAATATTTCCTCTTGAGAACAAAGGCGAAGGGCCCAGCTACAGGCAAAGCCTTTGAAACCCAACCGTCAAGAGCCAGCAGCTCTGCGTGTGCCCCCACGGGCTCGACGCCTGGCCGGGTTCACCAGCTCAGCAGAGTGGGCTGGATAGAGCCCAAGAGAAACCTGGTGCTGCCACATGAATGCTCCAGCAGGATGCGCTCTCCTCTCAGTCACTAGCGCAGCAAACGTGGCACCTGGAGAAGCGGAGGTGGGAAAGACGCGTTCTAAGCACTCACCGTACTTTTCACAAGGTCTGGAGCGCTGTTAACTCAGGTGCCCTTCCAACTCCCATCATCAGTGCTCTGCTTTCCAGAAGTCCCCCACTACCACCGCACCCAAGCTCCTCGCTTCCCGTCTCGACACTCTTGCATTGTGCTGCTAAAATTCTGCTGCGCTCTGCCCCTGAGAGGGCTGCATTTCAGAGGAGGCCGGTCACTCTGCAATGTGCTTGGGGATCTTTCAGGATGAAAGCTGCCATGGAAACACAATAGCTCAGGCTCCAGATCTAGTCACACAGTAATCACGCTGGCGATATGTAACCCCTTGTCCTACTCTGCCACCCACCACTCAGGGACCAAGCAGTGGAATAAA